GAGATAAAGGCAGTTTTGATGAAAAAAAAAGCCTGTTGACAGGACCCTTCGTGCTCATTGTCCAGGAACTTCAGAATGGCAACTTCCCTTAAATACAGTCCAAAGAGTAATAATGATAAACAGATTCCCTCAGAAGAGTGGACATACTAATGACAACCAATGCCTGAAGATGGTTGCTGGATACCTCACATTGTTCTATGGCCTGGTTAAGTTTACTTATAACAAAAAAAAAAACCTAAATCTATATAGTGTCACTAATAGAAGTACCAATAACAACAACAACAACATGCTTCTGATACAAATAAAAGCTGCATCAAAACTGGAAAATATCATACTATGTAGTGCAACTTGCTCACAGATGCCACATCGCCTAGCATAAAAGGATTCAAACTTACACAATACTGCTGCTTTTTAGAAGCAGTCCAAAATGATATTTCTAGGGAATAAATATACTGTTCCAACTGAATTCATAAGGCACAAAATTTGCGGATTATTAATCAGTATAGCCAAATACAGCAGTTTATCAGCTTCTTACTAGAGGAAGGTCAATTCCAACTGGATATTACCAGCACTTTAGCTGACAATTAAAAACATCAAATGTCAATAAGAATAATATTTCTGTTGACTGCTCACAAGTGATCCTTTTATTCCATGTAAAAAAAGTGCACGCCAGAAAACACTGGAATAATTAGTTGAGGGGACAAAAATGTGCAGAAAACGCAAGCAGCCAAACATTTCGACTTACACGGATATATGAATAAATCTTAATATTACAGAAAACCACCACACAAGCATTAACACATTTCAATTTGCTGAAAACTAGAGGGCAGCACAGGAAATCAACAAAACCGTTTACAATATTTTCAAGTGAATTTTACCCATGCAGGGCAAATTAACACTTTCACCTAATTGCCCTCTGAACCTTTACCCTGTTGCCTAAACTACCCAATTCCATCTACATCCCTACCATTCCACTAGCATACTAAAAAAGAAAGAAAAAAGGAAAATTGTTCATGTTTATTTTGGGGTTACAAAGAAGTATGGGCTCCCTCCCAGCCCTCACATGGTTGCAGGCAAACCTAGTCTAACAGGCACTCAACATTGCACTGTAGGACAATGGAAGAGTCACATGCTTCTTTATACCCAGAAGTACTAAGTATTTCACTTCGGCTGATAAGCAAATAGAAGGCAGGTGATAATTAAGTGAATCTGTTACTTTGGCCTACAAGGACAGGCTCACTTTGCATACATTTTAACCCTTCCCAAGCTGAAACTTTATATTTAAAGACCGCCACAGTCCTTGCTATTTCCAACATGAGGTAAAAAAAAAGGCTTCCTTTAGTGTTTTCAGCATACGAGTTAGTGGAAAAGCTATGTAATCTATAAAGTCTGTATAGTCACATCCACAAAAATATGGGAGTGAGCCATGGCACTGGAATTAATGAACCAGAAAATAGAACATTATACGTGGGTAAGAGTTACTGCCACGATTTGCCAATATGGATAGAGAGATGCAGACATATGTACAAAAGCTAAGACATTTGCCATAAAGCTACAGCTGTGCTCAAAAGTTTTCATTCCCTGGCAGAAGTCCTGAAATTTTGGCTTTGATATTTAAAATATGACTGATCATGCCAAAAAAACATCTTATTTAAGGATAGCAATCATATGAAGCCATTTATTATCACACAGTCATTTGGCTCCTTTTTAAACCATAGCAACAGAAATCACCCAAATGGCCATGATCAAAAGTTTCCATACCCGGAATGTTTAGCCTTGGTACAGACACACAAGGTGACACACACAGGGTAAATGGCGATTAAAAGGTTAATTTCCCACACCGGTGGCTTTTTAAATAGCAGTAACGATATAATGGAACTTTTTAAGATTGACAAGGATATAAAAAGATATCCAAAGCCTTGAATATGCCAGTCAGTACTGTTCAATCATTAAGAAGTGGAAAATTTGGGAGATCTCATGATACCAAGCCAAGGTCAGATAGACCAAGAAAGATTGCAGCCATAACTGAGAGAAGAATTGTTTGCGACACAAAGAAAAAGCCACAGGTAACCTCAGGAGAAATACAGGCTGCTCCGGCAAGAGACAGTGTGGTTGTTTCAAGGAGCACTATACGACGATACTTGAACAAAAAATGAGCTTCATACTCGAATTGCCAGAAAAAAGCATTTACTGCTCCAATGCCGAAAAAAAAAGTCCAGTTAGAATATGCCCAACAACACCTTGACACACCTCACGGCTTCAGGCACACTGTAATCTGAAGTGAGGAGACCAAAATAGAGCTTTATGGTCACAACCATAAACGCTATGTTTGGAGAGGGTTAACAATGACAAGAATACCATCCCCACTGAGAAGCATATGGTGGTGGCTTACTGATGTTTTGGGAGTGTGCAAGCGATAAAAGGCACAGGGAATCTTGTGAAAATTGATGACAAAATAAATGCAGCATGTTATCAGAAAATTCTGGCAGACAAATTGCATTTTTCTTCATTAAAGCTGTGCGGTGGATGCTCTTGGACTTTCCAGCATGACAATGAGCCCAAGCACAAGGTCAAGTTGACCTGCAGTGGTTACAGCAGAAAGGTGAAGGTTCTACTGTGGCCATCATTCTCCTGATCTTAATATCATCAAGCCACTCTGGGGAGATCTCAAAACGTGCAGTTCATGCAAGACGACCAAAGACTTTACATGACCTGGAGGCATTCTGCCAAGTAGAATGGGCAGTTATACCACCTTCAAGAATTTGTGGCTTCATAGACAACTATTAAAAAAGACTGAATGCAGTCATTGATGCTAGAGGGGAGAATACACAGTATTAGGAACGAAGGGTTTGCAGACTTTTGAACTGGGGACATTCCATTAGTTTACTTGTTGCCATGTTTTATTTTATGATTGTGCCATTCTGTTTTGACCTACAGCTCAATATGAATCACATAATAAATACAAAATGTGTTTTACCTGCTGACTCGTGTTTTCTTTAAAAATGGTACATATTGTATACAATTCTCCAAGGGTATGCAAGCTTTTGAGCACAACTGTCCATTATAAGCCATCTTAGGCTACATAAGGCTTACCAAAGGCAGCCATGTAGTGTCTTTCTATAGGCTTGTTAACTGGAAGTAAGCTATAAGAAAACAATTCCTTTGCAGGGCAGGGGGATTTACTGCAGTTGTTTCCATCTCTTGGTAAGCACTTGACACTTTTGAAATACGCAATATTAGTTGAATATTGGCTTCAATGTCCCTTTAAGTTTAAGTGCACTTACACATAAAAATCAGTACAGAACTCCTGCTGGCCTCCACAGACAAATTATACGCAACAAATCGCACCTTTATCTTGATGAAATCTCAGTATCTCAACAGGACAGTGTTCCCGTGCCAAGCAGAAAACTGGGTTGGGGGGCTTTGTGACGGGCTGCCCATCATTCCCAAGAGATCAAACTAGAACAGCCCCATCTACAGCTTAGTACTGATTGACAATTTTGGGGGGAGAATTATGGAGTGCCAGATCTAGTAAACACTACATAAACCTCATAAAACCGTTTACTTCAGCACAAACAGCTCTGCATTATATGAATATAGTGACTGCAGATACCAGCTGGTGAGCTGTAATACTGAAATTTACATAGAAGTACATTTTTTTTTCATCAACTTCAAGTATAGGCCCTGTTGCCACACCATATTCCTTAACGTATTAAAATACTGCGGAATAGCCCATCTACTGCAAAGTATTCAGGATACTGAAGTGGCCTCAGGATTTAATACATAAATGCAGAAAAACGGTCTGGAAACACCCAATACTATATAACTGTTTGGTAAAAAAAAAAGTCCAATGTATCTTTAGCTTCCTATAGCTCAGCAATTGAAGTCCATCTCGAATGGCCCACTAACAGGTCATGCTCTGTGGTTCTCTTCACCAAATTAGAGGTGAAACCATAAGCTCATATAAAGATCCAAAAGTGTAAAGAATCCTGCAAGAAATTGTTGTTCACACCAAGTAATTAAGATGCTGACTTGGTGCTATAGGCAGGGCTGACACTATTCTTGATGAGACTAAACAACGCTGCTTTGAGCTGTCAGGAATGGACAGTGGAAACGGACAACTGTGTTTGAGAATTAATGCATACCCAAGTAGATTCACAACATTGAAAATACTTTAGGATCTTAGAAAAAAAAAAAAAAAAAAAAAATCATCTGAGGTATTTTTGGAAAATTTCTGGGACTCGCCCCCTTAAGACTTTACTAACTTATTGTAGATCATAACTTTTGGAGAGCCAACATTAATAGAGAAAGCTCAAACTCCAGAAAGAGATCATGGGCAAATAAGTTTAAGACAGAAGATATGTCCAGAATAAAAATAATATTAAAAAAAAGAAAAATATACATACCTATATATGATATACAATATACATACACACAAAACTGATTGATTTTACCATCTCTAGAAAGAAATACAGAATTTTAGCCCTGTCATGTATATTGTAGTCTGTTAAAACCATGCAATGCAGCGTAACAGCACTGACAAAATAAAAAAACAAGGTGGGAAACCACTTATGGGTGCAGACCTGAACAACTAAGTTGGAGGCAAGACATTTTGTTGTCTAAACAAAAGTATATAAAAAGGAAGATTGTAAAATGGCCATGTACACACTGAGCAAACAGCTCAAATAACTACATCCACTTAGTTAAGGATGAAGCAACACATTTCTCTAGAAACAACTTAATATATATAATATATATATATATATAAAAGAAAAATAAAAATCACATTAATTTTATGTTATTTCCAAGGCAGACGTGCAGCACTTTGCTGCATTTTCAGTAATTTGGCAAATAAAAAAAATCACCAATTTAAAAAAAGAAAGAATAAACAAATGTAGGATTGGAGGCTCCTCCTCCTCCTCAGTTATGCAGTTGCTCCACACTCTGGTGGCGAGATATATAACATCATTTAGGCGAGCAGGAGTAGTGATGGAGCTTGGTCACACCAGGTTGTACTCTTTAAGGTTTAGCTGTAGGATGGTGTCTTTTACAGCAGCAAATACAAAGCGGATGTTTTCTGTGTCTGTGGCGCAGGTAAAATGTGAGTAGATTATTTTGTCACTGTCGGGATTCAGATCCACAAACATTTTCAAGATGAATTCACGAGCGGTCGTTGCATCTCGTTGAGGGCCTAGAAAGCAAAATATATGAAAAAATTAATTTCACACCTCCCTCTTAGCATGCCATTATGCTTCTACATTTGCATATAGGAAAAACCATGATTGACTGCACAGAGCACTGTGGCCCCTTCCCAGTCGTATCCTGTATTCTCTGTTCTCATATGCTGACAGATTCCTGTTTTTTTTCAGCCATTTGTTAGTTGGGAACATTTAAAAAAAAAAAAAAAAAAAAAAGGGGGAGGATTGGTTGGGTTAGTACTGCACTATTACATACCTAACTCTTGGCAATGAAAACATTGGATTTTCTCTCAGGAAGTTCTCTGTAGGAACTACTTTTTTCTTTATCGCACATCATGGGACACAGAGCAGGCCATAATAATGACTATGTGGGTTATATGCCACCTATACGTGAAAGGACACTGGCCGACCAATTAAACAGGTAGTCATCCCCCATATAACCCCTCCTACACACAGGAAATAGTCTGTTTTTGTAGCAAGCAATGAAAATCCAGAAAGAGGGGAGGAACATCTGTGTCCTGTGAAGTACTCAAAGAAAATAGGATTTTTTTTCTCTACATACTTAACTGTAAAATCCATTTCTTGATCGTACATCATGGGACACAGAGCAGGCCATAATGACGACTATGTGGGACGTAAAGCAATAACCTTGAGGGGTGGGTAACATCACAATAACCACCATCAACATCCCAAAAAGAAGCTGTTTGTAAAACACCGAGGCCAAAAGGCAGAATCCTCTGTGGCTCTGACATCCACCTGGTAAAACCTTGTGAATGTATAAACCGAAGACCATGTAGCAGCCTTGCAAACCTGAGCAACTGATGCCTGGTGGCGGAAAGCCCCTGAAGTCATGGTAGAGTGCCCTGACAGTCATGGTAGAGTGGAACATTGCTCTTCAAACCATAGGCTTAAATGATTAACTGGTGAATCAACTTATAAATAGTTGCTTTGGATGCCACCTGTCCTCTCCTGGGTCCTTCCAGCAAAAAAATACAAGGAATCGGCCTTTCTAATCTGCAACCTCATTCTCAAAAAAACCCTCAAAAAAACCCTCATTGCCCAAACCACATCCAGGGCATGCAAAGATCTCTTTTGCCGACTCAAGCCTAGGAAAGAATGAAGGCAGAACAATGTCAGCCCCGTACACAGATCGAAAGGGGTGGAACAGTGATAATAATGGGGTATTTTTAACTACCCAGAAATTCACTGGAGTAATGGTACTACAGGAACAGTTAAAGAGTAAAAATGTATATACCTACTACAGGGCAACTTTAGGATACAGTTCATAGAGGCCACAACTAGGAATGATGCTCTGCTGTTCCTGGTAATCTCAAACCATGCAGAGCTTATTACTAATGTCCATATAAAAACATATGGATAGCAGTGACCATAACATGATTTCATTTATTATTAGCTGTAAACAAGCACATACGGGGGGGGGGGGGGGGGAACACTCAATTTTAAGAGAGCTAATTTTCCAAGGCTGAGAGCTGCTCTCCAAGTCTAAGTCTGGGAGGGAATATTGGCATTGATGAACGACACAGAAATGGGAGTTCTTCAAAAAGACTATGTGAACACACTGCAAAATATATTCCCATGGGCAACAAGTTTAAAAGGCTAAAAATCAAACAATGTGGCTTAAAGCCAAAGTTAAAGCAACAAACAAGAAAAGAGCTTTTATTAAATCTAAAAATGAGAGAACGCTATCATCGTTTAAACATTACAAAAAATATAACAAGATTATGCAAAAAGGAAATAAAGGCCACAAAAATTTCAAAAACGACAGACTGCAAAAGATAGCAGGACAAACCCCCAAAAATTCTTCAAATATATTAATAGTAAAAAGGTCAGATCCAAGCATGTAGGCCCTTTACAAAAATAATGTAGAGTGGGTGACTGGGGACAAAGAGAAGGCAAATTTATAAAATACCTTCTTCAGCTCTGCATATACAAAAGGAGCATGGGGGAGCTCTTGTCCATAATGGGCATGGTATTGACACAGTCACAGGTGATCCACATTGGCTCACAATTGAGATGATCCAGAAATATTGAGAATATAGGTGAATAAAGAACCTGGACCGGATGGCATATACCCACAGGTCCTTAAAGAATTGAGCTCTGTAATTTCAAAGCCATGGTTTCTAATTTTTAGGGACTCTTTGGCATTGTACCACTGTATTGGTGTAAAGCCAATGTGGTGCCTAGATTTAAAAAGGGATTAAAATCTTCACCAATTATAGACCTGTAAATTTAGCGTCTATATTTGGGAAGATACTGGAGAGTTTAATAAAAGAATCACATAGATGAATCCATGCTGTCTGGTGCTTAAAATATTTTTTTCCAGCAAGAACTCATTAAAGACAGAAGTTGTCAAACAAATCTTATTTCTTTTTATGAGGAGGTGAGCAAAACCTTGGACAGAGGGGTGGCGGTGGACGTGGTATACTTGGATTTTGCAAACGCATTTGACACAGTTCCCCACACACAACTAATGTGTAAGGTAAAGTCTACAGGCTTGAAAATAAAAAATAATAATTCAGTATATAAATGGATAGAAAACTGGCTAAAAGATCGTATTCAGCGAGTAGTGGTTCAGGATTCATACTCTGATGGTCTAGGGTTGTTCGTGGTGTACCCCAGGGTACAGTGTTGGGACCCTTACTTTTTAATATATTTATAAACAATATAGGGTCTGGGATTAAAAATCCCATCTCAGTCTTTGCAGATGACACCAAGCTTTGCAGTGGAATAATGTCCTTACAGGAGGTCTGCAACTTACAAGCCGACCTCAATGCTGTTTAATTGGGCAACTATGTGGCAAATGAGGTTTAATGTTGATAAATGTAAGGTTATGCACTTGGGGGCTAAGAATATGCATGCATCATACATGCTAGGGGGGAGTACAGCTGGGGGAATCAATGGTGGAGAAGTTACGGTAAATCGTAATCCTAATAATAGCATGCAATGCCAAGCTGCGGTTTCTAAAGTCAGCAAAATCCTCTCTTGTATTAAAAGAGGTATAGACTCCAGAGAGAGAGATATCATATTATCCCTGTACAAATTAGTAAGACCTCATCTGGAATATGCAGTTCAGTTTTGGGCACCAACTCACAAAAAGAACATTGGGAAACTGGAGAAAGGGTAACCAAACTGATAAAGAGGCAAGGAGCAGCTCAGCTATGAGGAAAGATTAGAGGAACTGAATTTATTCTCTCTTGAGAAGAGGAGATTAAGGGGGGATATGATAAACATGCATAAATACATCAGTACAAATTCATGGTTCACATAGTGAACTCGGTGTAGAGTTATTCACCCTGAGGTCATCACAGAGGACAAGGAGGCACTCTTTACGTCTGGAGAAAAAGAGATTTAACCTCCAAATACGGAAAGCTTTCTTCACAGTAAGAGATGTGAAAATGTGGACTAGACTCCCTCAAGAGTTGGTTCTGGCCAGCTCAGTGTATTGCTTTAAAAAAAGGCCTGGATTTTTTTCTAGATACAAATAATATAACTAGATACTAACATTTATAGATAAAGTTGATCCAGGGAATATTCTCTCAGGGGATCAGGAATTTTTTTCCCCTGCAGGAGCAAATTGGATCATGTTTTGCTGGGGTGTTTTTTTTTGCCTTCCTCTGGATCAACTGTGGATATAAGATTATAATATTTTATTTTATTTTTTTTGATAGAACTGGATGGACTTTTCTCTTTTTTTCAGCCAGACTAACTATGTAACCATGTAATGTACTGATTGACATGAAAACTAGAAACCACCTTAGGCAAAAAGGACGGATGGGGCCGCAAAACCACCTTATCCTGATGTAAAACCAAAAATGGTTCCGTACAAGAAAGAGCTGCCAACTCCGATGCCTTTCTTGCAGAGGTGATTGCCACCAAAAGGAGAATCCTGCATAACAGCCACGGGAGTAGCTGAAACGAGAGAAAAGGCATAGATTAGGAAAAACATGTCCAACTTGCTGTTGAACCTGGATGCCAATAGATCTACGTCTGGGTACCCCCAACGCTGGCAGATTGCCGAAAACACCTCAGGATACAGAGCACATTCCTCTGGAAACCACCACCAACAACCGAGGTAGTCCGCCTGCCAATTCTCTATTCCTGAAATGAATACTTCTGACAGAACTGGAACATGCCCTTCTGCCGAACCGAGCCAGAATATGATCTAGCTCCTCCGGAGCCCTCCGGCTCTTGGTACCGCCATGGTGGTTGATGTATGCCACTGCTGTAGCATTGTCAGACTAGACCCTGAGTGCCCAACAACGAAGCCTGGTCGTCCAATATCTCAGCCGTACCTCCTGAAGCTCCAGAATATTGATGGGCAGGATCTTTTCCTGTGGCGACCATGTCCTCTGGACTGTAGCCCCTATTAGAGCAGCCCCCCAAACCGAGAGGCTGGCATCGGTTGTTAGCAGCTCCAAATCACTGGTGGGAAAGATCTTCTCTTTCCGAAATTCCAAGCGTCCAACCACCAATTCAAGCTTTACAGCACCCAGGGGGACAAACACATGCGGCAATCCAGCTCTGGAATCTTTGTTCCATGCCAACAGAATATTCCTCTGCAAAGGCCTCAAGCGGAACTGCGCATAGGGCACTGCCTTCAATGAGGATACCATCTTCCCCACAACCTCATGCAGAGACGAATGGAAGGATACTTCCTGCTCCTCAAACTCCGAACCTGATCTCTCAGGGTGCAGCCCTTTCCTGGAGGCAGAAACACCTTTGCCTTAACAGTGTCTAGGACCAATCCCAAATACTCCAGACTCTGTACTGGCTCAAGGGCTGAAGTTGAGCACCCAGCCCAAACGTTCCAGAGTATGAACCGCAAGGGCCACTGTCACGTACCTGGATAGTGAGCCTGACGTGAAGAGGCAGGCCTTCCGTACAACTCCTGCTCAAGGTCCGCTGATGGTGGGACAGCGGTCGCAGGGACACGGTGGAGTATGAGTGCCTGTGATCAGTCCAGTAATAGCGG